ATATATACTCTATGAAATAAATTATTAGACATAAAAGACTTGTAAATATTATATTATGTACAATATGTAATAAAATAAATTAAGAAAACTCTAGAGCATATACCTATACCTAAATTATATTATATACTTGTACAAATTCAGATAATACGTTTACAAGGAATGCATTTGTATATATGATGTGTATAAAATCGTGCGCACGATATTATTGCCGTTCGTGTGTATACGTACAGGCRCCTATATAATATAATATTATGCTATAATATATTTGTATACATATGTATATTGTATTCGTCGATTTACATCGATGTGTACAGATATAATGTATAATGTAGTGCGTATAGTAGGTACATCAAATTATTATTATTCTTAATTTGTGTTATTAATATTATATATTATATTGTAGAGATCTCGCATTGACAAGTATATATTTGCTATCCGTTGCCGKGCGAAACGCGTAGGAAATTCAATCGACTTGCAGAGTGTTTCGTTATCGGATCTCGTAGGYCATCACCAGAAGCTGAAGATGTTTTGGCCTTGTGGTTCTGCAAAACAAAAYACCGTTGTAGAGTGGTTCTACTATACATCATATTTATATACATGATAGATTTAAATAGGTATTATTTTCAATTTTTATATTATCGTCGGTCGGGCCAACGTCTGTATACGGATTGAGAAGATCTACGATAGGTAATAGCAGCTATAGGTATGCAATAAAYACAAAAATCAATAAAATAACCAAAACTCGGCCTTTTGAATACCTATWGTGTTCAAGTACTATACAGCTAGACTACATTATCGTTTCGCAGRTGGCCGAATGAAAAATCGTTGAATATTATATATATAGTATCGCGTCGTAAGTCGTAATCATTATACGTATTATTATACTATTCGACCGCAGAAACTCACGAGTATAGTTTCACTGGGGCGACGTATAATAATAATATAATAATAATATTCGGCTTTGAAGTGTCCCGGCAGAATTCGTAACCCGAACATTAATATCCGGCCCGAACTGGCTCCTCTCGCCCCGTCCTATATATACGTGTATATATACTCGTAATAATAATAATAATAATAATAATAACATGTAGCGTCGGCGCTGCAGCATCTCACGACTCGGTCGTCTTCATTAGCGCGCGTCTATCGCGCCTCCCCGCTGCCCACCGAACGTTTCACAAAGGGGTTGTTTCCGGCGAAGGGCGGACGCGGGATCCGCTCACGCCCGGTCCGAAACCRTTCGCCTTATACACATTCAATAACATCCGCAAAAGACGACTTATATCGGCTGCCACTGTATATACATATAAATGTATATGTCGTACACTCCGGCAGCAGTTCTGCGGTCGGACGTATTATTGCTGCGATCGCGCCCTTTGAGTTCGGGTCTCTCATCCAAATTAACCTCTCGTCACGGGCCCATTCCCYACCCCCACCGCGACGATACCTCCGCGCACCCTTAAACACCGGCGGCTACCGAAAGCTTTCTGTGCGCCTGTTGTACCGCGGCGAAATTCCTGTTCGCATCCCTTACGCGTATAATATATAATTACCACCGACCCCGTCGTCGTCAGCGGAGTCAATAGAGCGCACAACTACAGTCATCGTTTAAGTATCTATGTATATATTATATATTATATATATATATTATAATATTACAAACGTAATATGCCGAAGTGCTGCTGTGGAAACTATCTGAACAATTTGCCAACACTAATAATCTTCTGGCCAGTCGTTAGCCACTAATATATATGCGATTTATATGGGCCACAGCAGACCGTATTCTGTAGAATACAATTTGTATAGTAATAACCGTAAACGTCGGCGATGACCGTTTGCGACCCAAAAACCGTCAAAAACAACATCGCCAAAGTATAAAATAATATACATAATTGGGCGCGACGTATCGGCAATATATGTGCGCTTGCGGGTCAGCTATTCGCGCCACATATTCGGAGAATGCGTACCGAATTTTCCGGCGGCCAACTTTCCGATAGCGATCGTGGAGGTTGTGAACTTGTGTGACGACTGTCATCACGCAACCGTTGTATAAGGACGAACTGATTTAATTACAGAACCGTCGTGGTCYCTCGGACTAAGACGCAATATCTTCTTCGCGGGCTCTGAACGGAATCCGACCCAGCAAAATCCATTCGCCCGATATGCGGCTATTTTATGCCTATCTTGGTCCATGCACGACCCACGGTCTATTTCGATCGATATATTACAACGGTACATATTATTATACAGTCGGAAAACTCGAGAGAGAAACTCATTTTCATTCAAAAACAAGCGGGTTTTCACAACGAAATTGGTTGATCGGAAAAAATTGCTCAATTATTCGCAGTGACGACATATGCCATTATTGCGCCGAYGSGAATTTGCTATRATATRTGCCAAACGCAAATAGGTATATATTATTGTAATGTGCGCGCGCGTGTAGTCGGGTTTCCAGATGATAGACGCGTTTTTGAAAACAAATTTGGCCAATTTGATTAAAACGCTATTAATATCGAAACGTCAATGGGACAATGAGTCACTCGTAGTGAGTATAATATAATAGTCACCGATATAACATTAATATTATTTTTAAAACACTTACGTTTGTTGTTGCCACCGGGAGGTACGAATCCGAATCCTGAAGCTCCCACTACCACGCCGCTGGTCTCGGAACCGGGTTGTGTGACAGGAAACAGAACTGGACCTGTTGATTTTTTCCCGAGCGAGGGAAAAATGGGGAGAGAAAAATRTTATTTCGGAAAAATTAATCTCGTACACATTTATTTTCGCCAAAACTCACCTCGGTTTTCTCTAGGGTCTCGGTTGCCGGACTGTTGTTCGACGTTGGACAGGAAGTCACCGAAGTCGAATT